GGGTGCTGCCCACCCCAGTGGGGTCCCCGGGATGTTCCTTTGGGAAGGGGACACGGGTGCTGCCCACCCCAGTGGGGTCCCCGGGATGCTCCTTTGGGTGCTGCGCTGGGTGGGGGCACCTGGTTGAGTCACAGCGTGGCTTTGCCACCATCCTTCACCTCTCGGGGTAGAGCCGTGGGGTTGTCACTGCCGGGCAGGTGCGGTCCCCCGGAGGGGTGACAGCGGGGTGTGACAGGGCCACGCTGCCCTGTCCCCCTGCCCCGGCGGTGCTGAGCCGTGCCTGTCCCTGGCCGCAGCTGCTGGCGCTAGTGGGGATCCGGAGGGGACTGGAGCGCGTCTTCCCCCCGCACGACCTGGCCTGGCTGGACGGGCCCCCGCCCGGGCCGGGGGCGGCGGGGACGGAGCGCCGGGAGCGGCCGGAGAGGGGCGGCGGCGGCGCCCAGGAGGTCGGTGGTGCCCCGGGAGCCCCGATGGGCCGAGCCGGTGGCGAGGCTGGCGGGGGGGGCGCCCAGGGGTGGGCGCGGTGCGACCCCGAACGCTCTGCTCTCCCCATGCAGATCGAGCCGATGAACCACCCGGGACCGCAGATCAACCTCTCCGTGAACTAGCGCTGGGCAGGGCGGGGACATCGCCCCGGGCAGGGGGTCGCGAGGCCCAGGATCCCCAAAATCCCCCCAAAACCCCCCTGAATCCCCCCGGCCCCCCCGCACCGCGGGACACGTGGCCGCGCGGTGACGTCACGGGGGCGTGGCCGCGGGTCGCGGAGTGACAGCGCGCTCAGCCAATGGCGCCCCGCGTCCGGCAGGGGACGGGGCGAGTGGAGGGGGCGGGCCGTTCGCCTCGATTGGCAGCCCCACGGTCCAATCAGCTCACGGGGCAGGCGGGCGTGTGACGGCGCCTCGCGCTGACGGAGCCCCTCAGAAGGGTTTGAAGGGGGGCGGTACTAGGGGGCGGCAACACCCAATCGGAAGGCGCCAGACGCCGAGCGCCGTGAGCGACACCCCTCTGGACCAACCGAAACGTGCGGCTCCCGGATGCGATTTGATCGACAGCGCGCTCACCCTATCAGCGCTCTCAGCCCCGGCGAAGTCCTTGATTGACGTCCCTATGGACCAATCATTTCGCGGAGGGTTCAGGAAGCGGGGCGGGTCGGCACGCTCTGACCGCCTGGGCGTGCGCTCTCAGGGCAGCATGCTGGGAGCGCGTGACGCGGCTCTGACTGACGCGCCCCGGGGCCAATAGCGCGGCGCGGCCTTCCCGGCGCGCCCAATGGGCGCGCGCGGAGCGGGCGGGGTGGGCGGGCACGGCGGCCGCGGCCGGGGTAGGGTGTGAGAAGTTAGTGGCGCTGCCGCGGTGCCGTGAGGGGGGAACGGGAGACGGCCGGGCCCGGACCAGCGCGATGCTCACGGACGGCACCGCTGCCGCCGCCGACGAGGAGATCGACTCGGTCGCGCCCCGCGCGCCGCCCGCCGCCGCCGCCGCCGAGCCGCCCGCCGCGGCCGGGCCCTCCCC